AAGGGCTGGTATGCTAATGGGGCAACGCCTTTTTATTCCTGTACATTTACATACAAAGTTGTTCAGTAAGTACAACAGATGTAACATCATGCAGACATTTAGCTTTTTAAAGACTGTTCTTCAGTAGTTGATTTTTTTTAAGCTTGTGCTATGGAGAAGCACCAAACTACTCATGATCAAAAAACCATACAGTAACAACGATTAGTCAATAAAACTTCATCAGAAACCGTGGGGGGGGGGTCTCACCCACTACAGACAAAGCACACTACTCCTTTCCCAAAAACGTTTTTCACACAATACATTTAAAAATGAGGTTTTGTTTCTTGCTTTCCAATGAAGTATGAAAAAGCTGGCCCATGCTTCAGTGGTTGTCTTTCTGTGCCAGCTACAGATAAAACTTGATAGGACCTTCAGAATTCATAAAATGGCACTTCTGATTTTGAGTTTAGTGATTTTTGTTGTTTGGCTTTAGAAAGTGGCAACATAAACAGTACCATTAAAAAAAAAAAAAAGTAGCCAGCAGCAGCCCCATGAAAATACCTCTACCAAGCTTCAATCAAATGGCGTTTCCTTCTTGATTGTATTTTAGTAACAGAAATTATTAACAGAAAACATCTTTGAAAACTGAATCTCACTCAATTTTCGTGCTGTTTAAAAACAGAAAAATAAAATGTTTTCAACACAAATTAAAAATAAGCCAGCAAAACAAATAGATCTTGGCTTACAGAAAATGGAAAATAAACATAAATGAATGGTGCACCTGCTGTTAGAATGGACTTGACTGTTTTATAATATTACATTGAATGGAGTTTATACCTGCTAATTTCTTCAGGCCTGGAGATTATCTAACATTCCCTGACTGGAATTATTGGCTGTTTTAGAGCCAAACTGCATGTTAATGGTGGTCATGAGTTTGACTTGTGGCTGCTGACACAATTTTACAGAAGAATGCTGGTGTGGGGAAACTGGGTGATCTTGGCCCCCCCCCCATGTCTTTTCAGAAACAGGCTGTTTCAGCTCTTGAAAAAGTGCACGAGGGGGGACAATATCACCCCCACACACACACAACAGGCCCCCTCATGGAATTTTTTTAAAAGGGTCAGATTCTGCTATAAAGTGGTGCCAGCAGCCACGGGTCAAATCTGTGGCTGCTCTAACGTGTCATTTGGCCCTCAGCTCTGGCATCGATTTATATGAAGTCTGCCAAATGTTATATGCCACCTGTCTTGAGAGCTCACCTGGCAATGAGCAAGGAGCCCAAGATGATTCCCCATTTCTTCAGCCTGTAGTTTTCATGCTCTTGAGTCAGCCTTTGTCAAGGCAGCCTGGTTACTGTGTTATCACAAATGGTTGGCTTTTGACATTCTGCCACTGGCAGGCCCATTTAGAATGGCACGTGGCTGCATGTAAGAAGCCACTCTGGCATAACTGAGCACATGACTTTGGCCTATACACTGTTCCGTTCTCTTCCCATAGCCTTTCACACCTGGAAGTCAGCTGAAAACCATGGCTGTGATGTATATACTCATTTCTTTGGTACCACTGTTATCTCGGGACAAAAAAAGGGGTTTTGCAGGCTTTTTCCAAGCACAAAAAAAATCTGCACATCAGAAACCCAAGCAGGATGGATGTGTACATCACAGAATAAGTCAAAGCAAAAAAAAAATTTTTTTTTTTTTAAAGAAATTCTCTTTTTCTGGCAGCAATATGTTGTAAAAATCCCTACAGGTTTTGAAGGACTTGAACTTCCTCAGGGGAATTTTTCAAAATGGACACACATGCAACTTCTTCCTATTTTGTTTCATTTGCTCACTTCTGCTGGTACACTTAAGACTAGAAACCCTGCAAAGAGTAACACAAACAAGTCTTGAGTGTCTCTCTGATACCCGGCACATTGAACTTGCCTCCTTCAGGCCTCAGACCGTGGGCCTACTAGGAGTTAGCAATGTTTGCAAATCGCCCAGAGATACAAAAACAAAATATACAATTCCAACAGTTGATAACTTGCCATGTGTACCTGACATACCTCAAAGGACCTAAAAGGATACCGATCTGACAAAGCTGTCTTAATTGACATGACACACACAGGATCGAAGGGCTCAGAACTTGACAAAATTGCTGAGAAGCCTTTCTCATTCATACAGCAAAGTGGACAATATTGTCGGGGTGCTGTATGAACCTCTGTGGAACATAAGACTCCACCATGCCAAACACAGCTCACCAGCCATGTACGGTGGCCCACTAGGGACTGAAAAAACTTCAGGGATTGCAGAGGCAGGAAGGCTGTTAAGCAACTGGCAGGCTACATCCTGGTATTGGTGAAACACAAGTTGCACAGGCCTGCACTACACATTTGGCCATGTTCTCTTGTTGAGGTGGATCACTCACTATTGCCTCTTTTCTAAAACTCCTGAATCAGGCATACAACAAGAAGTACTAGACGAGTACTGATGGGGTCATGGCTCAGAGGTAGAGCATTTGATTTGCATGCAGTTGGCCCCAGGTTCAGTCCCTGGCGTCTCCAGTTAAAAGGAACAGGTAGTAGGCAATGTGAAAGACCTCAGCCTGAGACACTGGAGAGCTGCTGCCAGTCAAAATAGACACTACTGACCCTGATAGACAAACAGTCTGCCTCAGTAGAAGGCAGTTGCATCCATTCAGTGTTTCAGTCTCATCGGCAAAAACAATACTGGGATGGGAAACAACTTTGTGCTTTTGAATCCTGCAGAATCTGAGAGAGACTGGGAACACACTACAGAGTATTAAGTCTAGCTGTCAGTTTTCTGATAAAAAATAAAGGGGGAGGGTGTGCGCCCATGAACTTCCACATGTTGAGATTTTGTCTCTCTCTGTCTTGCGCTCTTTTTCTGTGCCTGTTTGTAAAGTTTAGGAGCATTATACCAGAATAGGGAACTAGAAAATACAGCAGGCATCAGATAAAAGAAACAATGGGGACTTAACAGTGTTAAAATGCAATCAGATTCCATAGGCTGGTGAGTGGGCAACATGATTTGAGCTCCATCTCAAGAATATATGCACAGAGATGGGGGAATCAAAAAGCTCTTCCATACAACACAGATTGCAAAAAGTGCTGTGTGTTAGCTTGCAGCCTGTGCATGACCATAATATTTTTCCAAAGGCCCCAGTCCATTTAAAAACAAATGAAATTGATACTTCATAGATTTCACTGCTGTTCCTGATACGTAGCTGTAACAAGCGTTATATAAAAAGGCAATAGGCATTACACAAATTTGGCACGTGAATACTGCACAATTTCAAAAGGCCTTGTTCCCCCCCCCCAATGCAAATGTAAGGTAATTATCTGTATGTAAAGAAAGATGGAGGCGAAGCGGCCGTTTTGCTGTCGTTTAAAGCCAGGGGGTCAACTAGAGAGTGAGAAGGACCTAGGTTTGCACTGATTCAGCGAGTCCCACTGAGGTGACTGCAGCAGTGGCAAATCAGGGGGGAGGAACGAATCAATTGACCAATCCAGGGTTTTTGTTTTTCTCAGTAAGATGTAAGAAACATTTCCCCAAACGTCTCATCCTCGGTATAAAAATCAGCAGCTTCACAACATTATTATTCTGCTCAAGTACATAAATGCTCTTCTTCCTGCACAGGCTCAGTTTTGCCCAATTAGCCAGTGTCGAAGGCTGCTCTGTTTGCTACACGCCAAGCGACACTGTTGGCTTTGTGCCGGTCACTGGAATGCAAAAGGGCAGCCTGCCAGAGGAAGCGAGTAGGAACACAGGTACGTCAGTCGACAGACAATATATAGAGAGCAAAGAAGGGACACGGCAGGGAGGAAAGCACAAAAAACGAGCCCTTTCCCTTGCCCACAATGTACACCGAACAAAGTGACAGCTAAATGGATGGCCGTACACATCACCACACATCTGACTGTTGCATTCCATTTAAATGGCTGTAGCACTGGGCAATCATGAATGCATGGGCTGAGGGGGGGGGCAGGAAGTGGGAGAGTCAACTAGATGTGAAGCAGCAGCCAGTTTAGGAGGTCCTCGCGTCGAATTGGTTCCAGCGTCAAGAACCGAGCCAGTGCTCGCATCAGAACTATCGTTGAAATAGCTGGCATGGATTGTTGCTGACCTTTTAGGGAAGGGAGGGGGGAAATATATATATTTTTTAAACTTCACTGACACCCCAGCCCTAAGTACCGGAGCCAGCACCTGTGGATTTCAGTGGGACTTAACTTCCAAGCATCTTTAAGAATCGAGGTGTCAGCCTCCATTGACAGCCAACTGAAACAATGGTACTGACCTATATATTGGGGAAATAGAGGAAATCCTACAAGAGCACTTGGGATTTTGTTTGGTACATTTACGGTGGCCATTTCCTATGGGCTTTCAAACTGGAGGTGGCAGCTCCGGTTACCCTTGAGCAGGGGTCTGATAGTCCCGTGGGGAGGCCACTCTCCTCTACAAGAACGTCACAAGACCCCTTTGGATATTCCGTGTCTCCCTCTCTCTCCCCCTAATCTTAAACCTTAACTTATTCCAGCATTCCATTTACACTGGGTTCGTTTACTTAAATATTCCACCCATTAGAACTGAACAGTCTTTGGAACAGTGAGGGCTCACAGCAACGCTAATGACAGACTGGTCAGAATTCCAGCTTAGCTGCTTTTGGGAACAGATGTTTTCACATCCCAGATCCCTTGAGCTTTCATGTCCCCCTCCCAATTTGGAAACATTCTCCTACAAAATGTTACCATG